CCGGCGGTGCAGGCTGCGGTGCGGGGCGCGTGGAGGGGGCGCCCTGCAGTAGCACCCCGCTTCTCCGCCCTGGACCACCCAGCCCTCCGGGGGAGGGGCAGATTGCAGGGGGCCAAGGGCAGGGCCGGACCTTACAGCAGGGTTCCCCCGGGTTTTCCCGCAGAGTGATTCGGATCTCTGGACTCCCTGCCCGGCTCCCATCCCTGCTGGGACCCCTCAGAACATGGGGTCACCAGCCCCCCCCCAAGTAGTAGGACAGCTGATCCTCAAAGCCCTTTCTTGCCGTGGAATCTGGACAAGAAAAGGGCTCTGCACACAGATTCCGGGCAGATAAGTTGACATTTAAAAGAGAAAAGGACGACGCTGACCTCCTTTGAAGGAGGACTGAGGACACCATTCCCCCGCTTCCCCGGTTGGGAAGCTGCTGGGCTGGGGAGCCTGGGCATCCTGCACCTGACTGATCCCCTCTGCTTCCCCTCCGCAGCCGACCAGAGCCCAGCTGAGCGGGGACGGCACTGCCAGAACCCAGCCTGCATGGACAAGCGCTGGGCCGCCAAGGTAGGAGGCTGGGCCCCACAAGTGGGGGGGGTGGAAGGGACTGGGCTCTTGCTGCCCTCTCTACCAAGCCTTGTGTCCATGGTGCTGGCACCCATGCCTCTGGGTAGGCGTGCGGGCAGCTAGTTTAGGGTGCACAGGGCTGTACCTGGCTCAGGAAAGGTGGGGGGGATTTGCAAAAATGAGGAGCCGCCTTTTGCTAAATTGAGACCTTCGCAGCAGCTCTGGGGTGATGGGCACTGCACCCCTGTGTCATAGATACGGGGCTCTGGTGCCCCAGGTTCTGGCGCCCCGCTGGCATCTGGCCATGCTTCAGGCTTGGATGTGGAGCAGGGACGCAGGGCTTGGTGAGCGTGATTGCGGCTTTGGGGATGACAGAGGGAAGAAGCTGGGGCCGCCTGGCCTTGGGTGTGGGGCTCCCAGAGAACAAGGTCAGGAAAAGGGACAGCAACAAAGGCATCACCCAGATGCCTCTGCCTGGGATGCTGGGGGCTTTGTGCCACATGCTTTCCGAGCTGGGTGCTTGGCTGTGGTGGCTCTGCAGGGCAGGTATTGTTTGGTTCAGAGAGGTCGTGTGACTTGGCCCGAGCCCTGCAGCCCATGTGAGATGGAGCCGGGTTTGGCCTCCACAACCTGCATTTGAGTGGCAATTGTAACTACTGTGTGGGCACCAAGGACTCACCTGTGCCTTCCTTCTGAGACAGTCCTATCCGGGTTCCCACTCAGGGATGGGTAAACTGAGTCACAGAGGGTCAAAGGGGCTAAACAAAGGAGACGTGAGTGGAAAGTGGGAGACCAGGGATTCGAAACCAGTACCCAGCTCTGTCATGCCACACAGCTAATCACTGTGTGGCTTGGCACTGCCAGCTACAGAAATCAGAGCAGCCAGCTCCCACCCCAGCTGCCCCAGACAGGGGCACATGATGAGAAGAACATGCAGGACTGCTCTGGGGGTGGCAGAGGAGGGGGTGCCTCCAGTTGCCGTGGTCACCGGGCAGGGGGGCTGCTGTGATGTCAGATACAATCTGCTGGCACGGCTGGCGCCTGGCACCGGGCTCTGCGTTGGCTGCTTTTCTCTCTCTGGGTGGGGGCTCCAGGCAATGCACACCCTGCCAGGGCCTGCAGAACCTGAGGCCTCTGCAGAGGCGACCCGGGGCCAGGACACCCTGTGGCAGCCCCCGGGCCCTGCCTGGAACCAGTAGAGCCTGCGTGGGGGCATCAGGCCCTGTCTCAGGAGAACCCCTGGGGACCAGCTTCATTGTGGGGGCACAGATGCCAGAGTGAGCGAGAGAGAGTTGAGGGGACATCCTGATGCAGAGGAGGAGGCCTCTGCAGACAGACTGGAGGAAGCAAGGGCGGAGGCCCAGGAAGGAGGTGCTGTGGGGCACAAGTGCCAGGCCAAGGTGACAGGAGCAGATAGCAGATCACTGTTGTCAGTGCTCACAGCCATTGCTGGGCCAAGGGTCCATGAACCCTGACGGAAGCCTGGGGTGGGCAAGGACACCACTGCCCAGAGAGGGGCAGGAACCTGTCCACCTCACAAGGCGCGGCCAGCAGACCCTGAGTGAGGTCTTTCTGATCCCCAACTCTGATTTATTGATGGATTGATTTTTTCTTTGTTTTGCACCTGGGATCGAACTCAGGACCTTGCACTTGCGAGGCAGTCGAGGTGCCACTGAGCTGCATCCTCGGCCCTTATTTATTTAAATTTTGAGACAGGGTCTTGCTTCTTAGCTATGTAGCTGTCCTTCGGAAAGCCCTAGGGGACAGTGATGTCCCTAACCCTCCCCTGAGCCTGGATGTTAAGTGCCCTGGCTTTGGTGTAGTCTCTTGCTACCTTGGGGATGGGTGAGGCCCTAGTTGCCGGCCCAGCCCAGCACATGCCGTGCTGCATGGCCCAGCTGTAATTGCTCTAGTCCCGCGTCCCCACTCCCCATGGCTGTTGTCCCCCTCACCCTGTGGGCCTGCTGTGGCCTGAGCCCCAGCCATGGCAAGGAGACCCATGTGTATGAATTAATGGGCAGAAACTCAGGTCGAGGGTTCAACAAGGTCCATGGCTGCGGTGGGGATCAGGGTCCCCATGGCTCCACCTCTCTTGGGGTGGAGTGGGCTTGGGTGCTTTCCCTGCCCTAGTGATCTTGGATTCAGCCCAGAGATCAGCTACGAGGAGCCTATGGGGGTGGTATTGGAAGGCAGGGAGTCCTGGAGAGGCCTGGCAGCCCAGGAGTCCCCAAGTTGGATAGGTGGAACAGTCCTCTTGGGGCCAGCATGGGGTACAAGGGGCCAGCCGCACCAGAGGCTATGTTGGGGAGGGGAGGAGGATGGCCTGCCTTCCAAAGTGGGGGACTCAGCCCTGCTGATTCCTCAGTAACCTGCCTCAAATTGAGGCAGGTGCCCTGGGACATTTGCTACTTCCTTGCCCTTCCCTGTTCTCCCCTTGCTTCCCCAGCATCCAGGGCCATGCAGGGGCCTCAGGCAGGACATTCTGGAGGAGTGGACAGAGAGGGAGGGGTGGGGTGGGGGAGGTAGACCCCAGAACCTCTCTCTGTTCCTTCCCAAGGAAGCTTCTGTGTGGCCTTGGGGAAGGGGGTGCCCAGAGTCCAATTGGGCCTCCCGGGCCCTGATTGTGGGGTCAGAGATCTAGGCCTCCCCTGAGCCCCGATCCAGAGTGGGACCACCCAAGGGGAAATGTCCCATGCTGTGGTCCCTGCACTCTGGCCAGCTGCCTGGTGGCCCCAGACCCACCTGGAGGACAAAGGATGAGGCCCAGGCAGAGGGGAGGAGGAGGAGGAGGAGCCAGGGAGCCCAGTCACCTGGCAGAGCTGCCCCACCCTGATAGGCCTGCTCAAGCTTGCAGGCTCCACCCTTGAGTTTCTGAGGTGCCAGCAGGGCCTTGGGGTGCTGAGCCTTGCTAGGGAGGCCCTGGTAGGGTCACTGCTGTGGCCAGGTGCCTGGGCTCCTGGTTCTGGGCTATTTGGCCTGGGATCCTGTCCTAGACCTGTGGTTTCTGCTGGGCCCTGGACTCATTCTCCAGCCGGCCCCCACTGGGGTCCCAACCCACTGTTGGACCCGGATGCCCCAGGTCCCTGAGATGCTGTCTGCTTTCCCAGAGCTGAGGAGATGGTGCTGGGGGCTGCTTTGGGGGCTCCATTATTCATCAGCCTCTGTGTCTGGTTTCAGGGTGTCAGTTTCTCAGGCCTGCAGCCTGCCAGGCTGTGGTGTGGCCCCCTCCTCAGGAAGTCATGGCCTGGGCTCTCCTGGGCCTGCTCTGAGAGGTCCCAGCTCCCTACCCTAGAGAGGAGGGGAGCCCGGGAGCTGGGAGCACCCCTGCCCTGCAGGCTTGGGCCCTCTACTCTGCTTCTTCGGCCCTGGCGTCTAGGCCTGGAGGGGTTCTCAGGAGTGGGTCTTTGCCCTGGCTGGCATGGCTGAGTGACGGCATGACTCAGAGACATCTGGGCCCAGTCCCTTATGTCCCCTGGGAGGGAGGTGACCTGCCCTGGCCCAGCCCTGGTCTCTACTTGGTGCAACCTGCTTACCCCAGGGGATTCTCCCCATGCTGGCTGTGGGAGCTCCCTGCCCCCAAGAGGGGGCATCAAGACTCTGTGCCCAGCCTGCCCTGTGTGAGGCCCAGGGGTGTGGTGCTCCCCACTTACACCCTGCTGGCCTTGGTACAAGTCACATGACCTCTCCAGGCCTTGGTGTCTTTCTCTCTGGTAAGCTGGGGCCATCACAGTAGCTCTTCCTTGCAGTCTCAGAAGTGGGGTTTGCTGCCTCCAGTTCTTGGCTCAGGTGTGACTTTTGGGGTCACTCAAGAGAAGGTCTCTTTCTACCTGGGGACAGCAGCAAGGATGGGGGCTGGTAAAGACCCCCAGCACGGAGGCGGAAATGCACCTGCAGGCCCAGCAGGCTCAAGGTCACGCGTCCTAGGAAGGAGACCCTTTGGCTGACACCCCTGTCCCTGAGTCCCTCCTCTGCCCTCACACATGCGTCTGTTCCTTGATGTCACTAATGTGTGGGCGCTGAGGACACAGCGGGACGACCAAGGTCCTGGGCCTCTGGCAGGGCTGTCCTAGCAAGAGATGACAAAATGCACAAAGAAATGAGGAAGTTGGCAGTGGTCACAGTTGCTTAGAAGGGGGCCGGGATTTAGCTCAGGGCTTCCTCCGCCTGCCTCTAGAGTGCAAGGAACTGAGTTTGATCCCCGGTACCAAAACAAAAAACAAAAAACCCCACAAATGCTTAGAAGGAATCAGTTCAGTTTTGGAAGACGAAGAGAGGATGGGCGAAGGGGCATCTTGGAGAGCCTTCCTTGAGGAGGTTGAGTTGGAGTAGGGGCCCAGTGCCAGCGCTGCAGAGGTTGGGGTGCAGGGAGTTCCGGACGGAGAGCATGCAGGGGGTGAAGGCCTGTGGGGTGCAGGGACACCTCTCGAGGAGGCACCTCGGGATCCAAGTCAGAAGCTTGGTCTCGGCCCTGTCTGTGTACTTTATCTCTCTGTCGCTTTGCCTCCTGGTTGACCGCTGGGGACAGCGCTGCCTTCCCCTGCCCTGGGAAGGAGTGCAAAAGCGCTCTGAAACCACACAGTGGGGACCCCAGCACCCCATTCCAAGGGGTTGGGAGCGCCCCTCCCCGGTGGGGATCCAGTCTGGAGCAGCAGGGACCTGAGGACCCAAGGTGGGCTTCGGGTTTTCCTGCTTCACCGGCCTCGCTGTGCTCTGGGGGAACGGAGATTCCTGGGATGAGCTGGGAGCTTCCCGGAGTGCCTGGGGAAGTTGTCCCTGTCATGCCTTGCCCTCCTGTGTCAGGCCTCCAGGAAGGGTGTGTGGGCGCCGTGGCCCTGGGCTCGGTCAGGGCTCTGCAGGGAGTCACCAGCTCCAGTCCCTGGGCGGTACAGCCACACAATGGCAGGAAGCTGGGCCTCCGCTTTGTCTAGTGCGGCACAGACTGCAGCTTCCTCCAGCCAAGATGGGGACTGGGCCGGGCGTCTCTGCACACCCAGGAGCCTCCGGGCCAGGCCCTGGGCCGCTCTCCCTGGACTCCTGTGGCAGCAGAGACCAGGTATGGATAGGGGTGAGGCCAGCCGGGGTGCACAGCTGTGGCCCCAGGTCCCTGAGTGGCTGCCCACTGTGACGGGGGCTGGGCCTCAGGCATCCCTGCTCCCGTCCTTACAGGGCCCTCGGTGCTGGCCTGTGTCTGGAGACCCTGGCCACCCCTCCCGCTTTCTTCCTGTGTCACCCTGCTCCTTGCCTCCAGACCCATCCCTGTGCGAGGTGCTTCTGGTGCCCCATGTGGCACTCCCTCTGGGACCCCCCTCTGTTGTATCTGGACAGTGGCTTTGGGGGTGCCTTGTGACCTTCCCTCCCCTCCCTGGGGCTGAGCCCTGCGGACTTCCCCCACCTCACCCCACCCCACTCCAGGAGTCCCTCCCTCAGAAGCCAGCTTGGTGGGTGTTTGGGGGTCACCTGGGTCCAGGAGAAAGGGCCTCCTTGATTTGGTGCTGGGGAGACCCCAGCTGTGGAGGAGCTGGGCAGACCCTGTGGTTTGGGGGAACCCTGCCCACCCAGCTTTGGCTGTGGAGCTAGGCCCCTGATATTCTGGGTGTTTCTGGAACTTTGCCCCGAATCTGACTTGCTTGATAGGATTTGCTTGGAAACAGAGCCTGACCTTCCTGATGCCCTGATGTCCCCCAGCCTGGGCTGCATCAGCCATTGAGGTGGCCAAAGCCAGGGCTGGGAGATGAGTGTGCAGACCCTCGGGGGAGCCTTGGCTTCCACAGAGGGGCACAGAGCATTGGCTGATGAGTGACTGGCCATGGGGTACGGGTCACTGTGTGGAATCTGCCCTGTGTATATTAGATTAGTGTGAAAACAAGATCGTGTAGCTCACAATCACTTCTCTTAGTTCTGATACCTAAGATATCTGAGATGCAAGTATCAGCAGGGCCAAAAGGCTCTGGGGGAAGATGCTTCTGGACCTTTTCCAGCTTCTGGGGACCCACATGTCCTTCCTCTCTCCTTAGGGTGCCCAAATCCTAACTTATTCCCTTGCGAGGACCCTGTTTACAGGGTGCTCCTTGGGGCACTGGTCAGTAGGACATGGTGTCTTTCTGGAAGGGACACAGTCACCCTGTGACGCCCGACATCTGGGTGGGAGGGAGCCGCTGTGCCCCGTTGGAGCCACTTATTAGTGTCTGGTTGAGCAGGGATCCTGACACTGGTGGGGTGGGGTCCTGTGGGAGCTGCCTGGGCCCTGGGCTTTGGGAGAGGGGTTTTATTTTTGTGAGTGTTTTACATGTTTGTTTTTGAGGCTGAAGCAGGTCCCAGGGACTGTGTGTGTCCAGTGCTGGGTCCAAGGGCAGTGGAGGAGACCTTGGTGACCAGAGCAGAGTGGGAGTGGTGGCTTGAGCCCCTTGCAATGCTGAGGGGATGAGAACGCAATGACAGAGGGGGTGGGAAGGTCCCCAGGGCGGCTGGCAGGAGCCACCCACGCAGTCCCTGGATGCAAAGACCTGGAGCTGCCTGGAGAGCGGCAAGAATCAGTGTCCCTGCTGAGGGACCTCTCTGCCGGGTGTCCTGGCTGCCCTGAGTATGGGTGTTGGCTCCACAGTGTCCTGGCCTGGACACTCACCCTGAGGCTGTCGGAGGCCACCACTAATCTTTTTTTAATCTTTAGCGTGGTAAATTGCTAATATTTTGTTAAAAGTTTGCACATCTGTATTTCTAAAAGATATTGGTCCACACTGGGCTGGGGATTTAGCTCAGCAGTTCAGTGGCCTGCCTTGCAAACACAAGGACCCAAGTTCCAATCGCTGGTACCAAAAAAAAAAAAAAAAAAAAAAAAAAAAAAAAATTGCCCAGGGAGCCCCCTACTCTGGTACTGGGGTTGAACTCAGGGTTTTTGCATGGAGCCATGCACTCCACCCTTTTTTTGTTTCCTGTTTGGAGATAGGGTCTCTCGAAGTCCCTAAATTGCCCAGGTTAGGCTGAACTTGCAGTCCTCCTGCCTCAGCCTCCCATGTGCTAGGATTATAAGCATGCGCCACCACACTCAGCTCCCTCTTATTCTTTTAATTTTATTTTGAGGCAGGGTCTCACTATAAGCTGCCCAGGCTGGCCTTTAACTTGCATTCCTTCTGCCTCAGCCTCCCAAGTAGCTGGGATCGCAGGTCTGTGCTGTCACATCTGGCTGTGGGCCCCTTCTGATGGCTGGTTTCCCTGGAAAAGCAGGATGCCAACTGGCAGCAAGGCCCAGGCCCCTGTGTTACATCAGCAGGGCTCAGAGTGAGGGCAGTGGGCCTGGGCACAGGAAGCTAAGGGTGCTCCGGGGCCAGTGCTGAGCTGGCCAAGGCGAAGAGCAGCCGACTTCCTTTCCTGTGTGGGCAGCAGGGAGAGGCCTGGCGCCCAGCCCTGTGTTCCTGGTCTTGAGTCTCCCCCTGGGTGGGGGTTTTGCTCCTCTGGGCGTCCCTGGGCACCGCCCACACCACCCTGCATTGCTCACCTGTGGTCCCCTTGCCCATGCCCACAGGTATGCCACCATGCTGACTGCCAGCAGCTGCACTGCCGGGGGCCCCTCAACCTCTGCAAGGCCTGTGACAGCAAGTTCCACAGCACTGTGCACTATGACAGCCATGTCCGCTTCGACCTGCCCCCTCAAGGTAAGCCCAGCAAGCCCCCAGCTGGCTCTGAGCCCTGGGCTGGCGAGGGGACAGCCTTTTTGTTTTGGTACTGGGGATCAAAGTAGGATCCTTCGGCTTGCAAGGCAGGTGGTAGAACCACTGAGCTAAGTCTCTGGCTAGGACAGCCTTTTGGTAGCCTCTGGACCCCTGATAGGGACATCGGAAGGGCAAGGCGCTCTTGTAGACAGTGGACCCCAAGTGCATGGCTGGCCCAGCCTTGTCTCCAGGGCAGGCCTGGCTGTCCTAATGCTGGTGCTGCTGGTTCTCACCCCACAGCTGGCCCAGGGCCATGGAGAGCCCCCGCTTCCTGTGCTTCCTGACATAGAGCCTGGGCCCTCTGCCAGCTGCTATAAGGCACTAGGGCCTGGGAGCAGGGACCTCCCTTGCCTGCCCTCCTGGCTCTTGGAGGCACAAAGGGTTGCCCCCCATCTGCCTGTCAGGACCTGGGGACTTCAAGGTGTGGTCACAGCAGTCGGGAAGGGAGGCCTGAAAGGAAGAGCTCGGACTTGGATCCCTGCTTGTAACAGTCAGAGCCAGGGCTTCATTACCCTTACTTTATGGAAGGGTAAAGTGAGGCTGTGGGTGGGTTGGTATTTGGGGTGGGTCCCGCCTGGAGTGTCTGTCATTCAAGGAGCTTTTCATCCCTTTGGGTCTTGGGATGATGGCCAACAACCCCCTCTCCTGGAAGAACCGAGGCCCCCAGCTCCTTGGCTGGGGTCACAAGGGGCACAGACTGTGTCCCCCTGGAGGTGGCTGTGTTCTAGGGCTAAGGAGGGGCCACGGCTCTGTCCTTGGCCAGCGCCCTCCGCACTTTCTGTCAAGGCTCTGTCCTGGCCCGGAATGTGTCCACCCGGTCGTGCCCACCCCGCACCAGCCCTGTGGTGGACTTGGAGGAAGATGAGGAAAGCACTGCGGATGGCAAAGGGTAGGTGGGGACAGGTGGGCAGTGGGGGTGCCAGGGGAGACACCCAGGGAGCAGATGCTAAGGCCAAGCCAGGGGAGCCTTCCCAATCCCGGGGGAATCCGTGGAGCCCTGGAGAAGGGCACCCCAGGCTGCTCAGCCCCAAACCGGTTGTGACTCCCGCAGTGGTCACCAGAGGGCGCATAGCCATGTGTGGGCCCAGCCTGCCTGAATAATTTATCTCCTGCGATGAGCAAGAGGTGGGGGCGTGGCCTTGGCCCCCCACTCACACTGCCCTGAGAAGGCCCACTTGTACCTTCATCTCCCCCACCGCTTCCCTGCAGGGACCGGAAGACCACAGGCCTGAAACTTTCTAAGAAGAAGGCGAGGAGGAGACACACAGATGTGAGGAGACCCCAGGGCTGGCTGGGGGACCCCCAGACATCCCCTGCTGCACCCAGCTCCTCCTCTCCCTGAGGCTGGGTCTCCAGGAGGAGGAACGGGGTCTGAACCGAGTGTGTCCCGCAGCCTGCGCTGGGTCTGCCCACCTGGCCCTAATCGGGGTGCTCCCCAGGGCTGCCACCTGGCTCTAATTGGGGTGCTCTCCGGCTCCCTGGTAGGAGGGGTGCTGCAGGGGGCCTCCGGAGGTGGTGGAGGGAGAGCTGATGGGATCCCAGCCTCCACTTCCTGTTGGGCTCCTCATCCGGGACTGTGGACTGGGGCAGGCAGGGGCCAAGGGTGACAGTGGAGAAGCTGACGCCCCCTGTGGTCTCAGGACCCCAGCAAGGAGTGCTTCACCTTGAAATTCGACCTGAATGTGGATTTGGAGACAGAGATCGTCCCTGCCTTGAGGAAGAAGTCGCTGGGGTAGGGCTGTGGGAACATGGGTAGGGTGTGTGGATGGGGCGGGATGCATGGCTGTCTCCTAACATCCACACCTCCTTCCGGGACAGGGAGGTGCTGCTGCCCGTGTTCGAAAGGAAGGGCATCGCCCTGGGCAAAGTGGATCTCTACCTGGACCAGTCCCACACACCACTGTCCCTCACTTTCGAGGCCTACAGGTTTGGGGGACACTACCTGAGAGTAAAAGGTGAGCGGCAGGCTCTGCGTGCTGCTGCCTGGGCAGGGGGCAGGTGGCAGGGCCTCCAGTGATGGGAGCCCCTCCTAGGCTGCTCGGATCCCCATTGGCCGGCCCCAGTGGGCTTATCACCTTGTAGGTGGTGCTGCGGTGCTTCTGGTGCCAGTGCTGGTGGGTGGCAAGGGGAGGGCAAGCAGGCCTGGGCCTGATCTCCAGGGAGAGGACTGGGTGCCCCTCTGGGTCCAGGTGCTGAGCACCCTTTCTTGTCCCCTTGAACCTCCCCAGCCAAGCCGGGGGATGAGGGCAAGGTGGAAAGGAGCGTGAAGGACCCTAAGTCTCTGAGCCTCCCACTCTTGCGGCCGGCGGCTGGGGCTGGGCCCCCTGTGCTGGAACGTGTGGATCCCCAGAGCTGCCGAGAGAACCTTGAGGCCTCGGTGAGACCTCGAGGTGGGGTGGGGCCTCAGAAGGGGAGATGGGGCTGTAGCATGGGGACCCTTTCTGACCTAGCTTCAGGACGGTGGATCTTCAGGTGCCAGGGCCTGGGAGTCCTGCTCACATGCGTGTGAATGTGTTGCTGCTTGGGAGTGAGGCCGTGGCACTGTGAGTGTGTCCTGCTGTGGATTCATTCGGAGATGTGCTTGGAGGTGCCTCTGAGTGAGAGAGAGAGAGAGAGAGAGAGTGTGTGTGTGTGTGTGTGTGTGTGTGTGTGCGCGTATGCATGCACATGTGTGCACATGCACTTGAGTTTCTTTCCCCCACTGCTTCGTGCTTGTAGTTGGGGACAACAGTCAGGTGTCCCGGGAGGGTGAGGCAGGATTGCTGCCAATTTGAGGCCACCCTGGGCTACGTAGTGAGATGTTGTCTGTGTCTCAGGTGAGGTGGTGCCTAGGGAAGGGATGCAGAATCTCCCATATCCCTGCAGGGACCTGGAGACCCTGGGGGGCCATGGGGGATGGGAGCTGGCCGTGACCCTCCCCCGCCTCTCCCACCCTGTAGGCTCCTGGCCGCCGGCGCAAGAACATGTCAGAGTTCTTGGGGGAGGCCAGCATCCCGGGCCAGGAGCCCCCTGTGCTCTCCAGCTGCTCTCTGCCCAGCGTTGGCCCCAGTGACAGCTGGAAGAACCGGGCAGCCAGTCGCTTCAGTGGCTTCTTCGGCTCCAGCCCCAGTGCCAGTGGCCTGGGCCGGGTACGTGGGCCCCGGGTGGGGGAATGCACGGCTGGTGGCTGGCCCGCTGGACTGACCCCGCACCACCTTCCAGGAGCTGGACAGGATGGAGCAGCTGGAAGCCAAGCTGCATGCCTACAGCCTCTTCGGGCTGCCCCGGCTGCCCCGCCAGCTGCGCTTCGACCATGACTCCTGGGAGGAAGAGGAGGAGGAGGACGAGGACGAGGACACAGACCGCGCCTGCCCGTGGCTGGAGGACAGCTGGCGGGAGCTCATTGAGGGGCACGAGGTGGGCACAGCTCTTGGGGACGGAGATGGGTGTTCCATGGGGAAACAGGCCCGGAGGGAGTAGTGAGCTGCCTGGCTGTGGCAGCAGAGCAGGGCCGGACCAGGTTGTGTTTTATATACATTGTTATTGGGGTCTGTTTGCAGTACATAACATTTCGTTCTCCTTAGGGGGTAGATCCATACACTTACCACATCTTAATTGTTCTTATTGTCCTTTCCTTCCCTCCTCTCCTTCCCTTCCTCTCTGGATCTCCTTCCTAATCGCAAAAGATCTATCTCGCTGTTTCCTATTCCCTATTATTTATTTATTTATTTATTTATTTTTGGTACTGGGGATCAAACTCAGGCCCTTGTGCTTGCAAGGCAGGCAGCGGAACCACTGAACTAAATCCTTGGCCCCATCCTCTCTTTTATTTTTTTAAAATTATTTAATGAGTGCTTCTCATGTAAGAGAGCTATGTGATTATTTAAGCTTGTGTGTCTGATTTGTTACACTTAACGTTATAGTCACAAGGTGCATCCACTTTCCTGCAGATAGATGGCTCAAGCCTGTCCTTCATGGCAGAGTAGTACTCCACTGGGTGTAAACCCCACATTTTTGTTAACTAGTCATCTGTTGGTGGACATATAAGCTGTTTCCAAGATTTAGCTGTTAGGAGTTGTGCTGCTATAAACATGGGTGTGCATGTATCACCACGGTGTGAGACCTCGGTGTCTTGACTGTGATCATTCGTCCACACGGGGAAGGAGGCCTGAGGGACCACCAGGCCTTCCCTCCCTCCCTCCCTCACCTGCCTGGCCTCCCTCTAGAAGCTGACCCGGCGGCAGTCCCACCAGCAAGAGGCGGTGTGGGAACTTCTGCACACCGAGGCCTCCTACATCCGGAAACTGCGGGTCATTACCAATGTGAGTGTGCCCCCGCCTGCTTGCCTGCTCCCTAGGCCTGCGGAAGGGGTGTCCCTGGAACGGGGTTCCCACGGGTGCTGGAGGGGCCTTTCAGGATTAACACGGGCAAGGCCTCAGCCATTCACTCAGCGGCTACTTCTGAACAGCTGCTGTGTGCCAGGTGCCCAGGTGCCGGCACCTCAGGGGGACAGGGTGGGTAGGCGCTGTGGGATTCCAGAGGTGGACTTGGGGGTCTGAAGAGGACTTCCTGGAGGGAGGACTCTAGTCCCCTAGGAAACCCAGAGGCTCAGCCAGCCAGAGGTGAAGGGGAGAATTCCAGGCCCCAGGAGCTTCCCTCCAGGTGGCGTCATGGCAGAGTGACTCCGGCTGGGCCAGGGGGCTTGTGGCTCACAGGTGTGAAGGGCCTCTCGGAAGGGGAGTGGGAAGGGGCCTGAGTTGTGTCCCACCCCATAGCTGTTCCTGTGCTGCCTCCTGAACTTGCAAGAGTCCGGGCTGCTTTGCGAGGTGAGGCAGGCTGGGGGCGCGGCTAGGTGGGTGCCCTGGGGGCGGGGCTGAGGTACAGGGGCGGGGCGTTCGCTGAGCCGACCGCCCCTACCCGGCAGGTGGAGGCGGAGCGGTTGTTCAGTAACATCCCGGAGATCGCTCGACTGCACCGAACGCTGTGGGGCAGCGTGATGGCACCGGTGCTGGACAAGGCGCGGCGCACGCGGACGCTGCTGCAGCCCGGGGACTTCCTCAAAGGCTTCAAGATGGTACGGGCAGGGCCACTGAGGCAGGGCTGGGCAAAGGCTCCGGGGCTCGGACGCTGTCTGGCCATCGCTGTTCAGTCCCCGACCAGTGACCCCGGGGGACCCCTATCGGCCGCTCGGGTTTGAATCTTCGCGTGTCTATATGCCCTGTCATCTGGCATTTGTCATTCACTCGCCTGGAAAGTAGGATGAGCTGGCTGCCTAGGGAGGTCGTGAAAGCGCGGTAGGGACGCGCTCGGAACGCGTGGTCACCGGTGCTGTGGTTTTGCCCCGGCCCAGTTCGGTTCCCTGTTCAAGCCCTACATCCGCTACTGCATGGAGGAGGAGGGCTGCATGGAGTACATGCGCGGCCTGCTGCGCGACAACGACCTGTTCCGTGCCTACGTCACGGTGAGGACTCCAAGGCTCCGGACCTAGGGCCCAGAGTGGGTGGGCTTGACCAGTCGATGGGCGGGGTGTGATGGTGGGCGTGTCACGTCGCCCCGCCCTTCCCGGCTGCAGTGGGCCGAGAAGCATCAGCAATGCCAGAGGCTGAAGCTCAGCGACATGCTGGCCAAGCCCCACCAGCGCCTCACCAAATACCCACTGCTGCTCAAGTCGGTGCTGAGGAAGACGGATGAGCCGCGAGCCAAGGAGGCTGTCGTCACCATGGTAACCGGGTGGTGGGCAGGGCTTCCCCAGCTCTCCTCCCCTCCAGGCCCTGGACCTAAAGCCCCCGACGCCCTTCCGCAGATCAGCTCTGTGGAGCGCTTCATCCACCACGTGAACGCGTGCATGCGGCAGCGGCAGGAGCGGCGGAGGCTGGCAGCCGTGGTGAGCCGCATCGACGCCTATGAGGTGGTAGAGGGCAGCAACGACGAAGTGGACAAGGTGGGCGCGAGTATCGGTGGGTCGGAGGTCGAGGCCCTGGACTCCGGGAGGGCCTTGACCTGCCCCGCCCTGCGCCCCGCCCCAGCTCCTGAAGGAATTTCTGCACCTGGACCTCTCGGCGCCCATCCCTGGAGCCTCACCGGAGGAGACGCGGCAGCTGCTGCTTGAGGGCAGCCTGAGGATGAAGGAGGGGAAGGACGGCAAGGTGACCGCCTCACTGGCCACGCCCACACCTGCTCTATGGGCGGGGCCTCACTTCCTGAAAACCAGAGACTCCGTGATCACTGAGGGAGGATTATGTGCCTGCTGATTACTTTTGTTTTTAGTATACCGGATTGAACCCAGCGTTTGCACAGCGCTTTGTTCTTACACCTTTTGTTTTTTATTTCGAGACAAGGTCTTGTTATGATTCCCAGGCTGGGCTCAAACTTGTGATGCTCCTGCCTCAGCCTGCCAGCCACCTGCTGGGCCACCATGCCAGGGTTGCCCTTTATTCCTTATGATCCAGAGGGGGTCACAGCCCACAGAGCTGGGAGAAGGCACATTTCGTGAAGGCTGTTAACCCTTCAGAAGTTTGGGAGCCAAGAGCCAGCAAATTGTGATTTTAAAATAAACTCCCTTTTCCTATTTTGAAAGTAAACTGATAGTGAAAATAAGCCTGGGGTCGGGTATTTAGCTCAGTGGTTCTGCTGCCTGCCTTGCAAGCTGAAGGACCTGAGTTCAATCCCAGTACAAAAAAAAAAAAAAAAAGTCTGCATCTCAATAAAAGAAACTGATCTTTGTTTTAACTTCACTCAAAATTTCAAGGGGGAGCTGGGTGTGGTATGCACACCTGTAATCCCAGCACTTGGGAGGCTGAGGCAGGAGGATCACTGTGAGTTCAAGGCCAGCTTGGCATACATGGCAAGACCCTGTCTCAGCCAAAGAATTTCAAGGGGAAGGGTACAGGGAAAGCGTGTGATCCAGACTGAGGTGCTGTAGCAACCCCAGGAGTCCCTCCTGTCCCTGACCCCAGATGGATGTGTACTGCTTCCTCTTCACCGATCTGCTCCTGGTGACCAAGGCCGTAAAGAAGGCTGAGAGGACCAAGGTCATCAGGCCACCACTACTGGTGGACAAGATCGTGTGCCGGGAGCTCCGGGACTCCGGTGAGGCAGGGGCTGTGCGGGGCAGGGCTCCAGTTCTGGCTGATGCTAATGTGGACCTTATCTCATCAGGCTCCTTCCTCCTCATCTACCTGAACGAGTTCCACAGTGCTGTGGCCGCCTACACATTCCAGGCCAGCGGCCAGGCCTTGTGCCAAGGGTGGGTGGACGCCATTTACAATGCCCAGGTGACAACGTAGTGGCCAGTAGGTGGGTTGTGGGCAGGGGAGTGTGAGGGCTGCTGGTCATAGCTCACTCTGCCCCTGTGCCCACTGACCCTACCCACAGGACCAGCTGCAGCAGCTGCGTGCCCAGGAGCAGCCTGGCAGCCAGCAACAGCTGCAGAGACTGGAGGAGGAGGAAGAGGAGGAGAGCAGCACTTCGACTGCCAGCTCTCCCACCATCCTGCGCAAGAGCGGCGACAGCTTGGACTCCCAGCACGGGTACATTTCCTCGGCCCCTCATGGGTCGCAGCAGCGCAGGGTCTCTGGGCTCCAAAGCTCCAAAGTTGACACTGGGCAGGGCCCACATCCTCTTCCTCAGAAGCCTCATGTTGTAAACCGGGTGTGGGTGCTTAGAGTGGCGCTGTCTCTCAGCAGTGTGGCAGGGAGAACAGTTCTCGGCTTGAGGGCCATCTCTGACTCAGTGTTGGGAGCTGAGACCGTCACTGTGGTCTGTAGAGGGCACCGAAGCCCAAAGGTCTGAGCCTCGAGCTCCTGGGCACAGCTATAAACCTCTGCACTGCCACTGTGGGTCACTGCAGGCCTTCTGGGCTCACTCTTCTCCTGACCCCACAGTGCTTCCGAGAGCTCCACCGAGACCCTGGCCGTGGTTGTGGTGGAGCCTGGGGAGATGCTGTCATCCCCTGAGTTTGGCAGTGGCCCCTTCGGCTCCCAGTCAGATGAGACCTCTCTGGGCACCACTGCATCCTCCATCACGCCCACCAGTGAGCTGCTGCCCCTGGGCCCGGCGGATGGCCTCTCTTGCTCCATGGACTCAGCCTACGGCACCCTGTCCCCCAGCTCCCCACAGGACTTCGCAGCCCCAGCCTCCGTGGTAGAGCCCATGCCCCAACCTGTAGAGTCACCACGAGCCCCTTTACCCCCACCCTCACCCTGTCACCGCTGCCGCGCGCCAGTCCAGCTTCTGCCCCACCCATTCTACCTGCTCAAGTCTAAGTCCGAAGCCAGTCTCCTCCAGCTGCTATCTGGGGCTGCCCCCCATGGGGCACACCCAGCTCCCAGCCGCAGCCGTTCTGAGCTCTGCCTGGCTGCTCCCACCCCAGCCACTAGGACTCAGTGCTCTCCTCAGGAAGTGGGGCCTAGCTGGGACTGTCAGACACCTATCCCAGCCAGTGGCCCTGGGCCATTGGAGGTGCAGAACAGAGCCAGCTGCCAGGCCGGGTATCCTGCAGGCCCAGCCAAGAGGAGCTACAGGGAGCTGCCCTCAGGGGCCTCTCCCCTGGCCCAGCCTGGGCCCCCTCCAGGTCTCTCAGCCCAGCACAGGAAGCTGACCCTGGCCCAGCTGTACCGAATCAGGACCACCCTGCTGCTGAACTCCACACTTACTGCCTCGTGAGTGGCCTAGCCAGAGTCGGGGGCAGGTGGCTCAGTGTGATGGCATCAGTAGTACTGAGCTGTGGTGATGGGGAGGGGCATAGTCCTGACTGGGTGTGTTAGCATTTGGGAATGGATGGGCAAGGGGCTGTAGATCTGCCCCAGTGCTGGGGCACAGGTGTCTGTGAGCAGCAGCAGAGGGGCCTGAGGGCAGGGCAGGAAGGACTTCCCCATCCTTCCTCTAAGGAAGGGTCTCTTCACCTCCATACCTTGCAGGGAGGTCTGAGCAGAGGGCATCTGCTAACCAGGAGACAGCAGACACAGGTCTCCTAGGAGTATGGTACCTGCTCTAGCTGCCACCTCTGGTGGCATGGGTTGAAGTGCCAGGCTGGACTGCTGCCTACCACCCTGGCTGATTTGCGCTCGCCGGACTGGATGGGGTGGAGGATGGCCCCACAGAGCCCCTGACCATGCTACAGCACGTCCCCGCCTGTCCAGAGTCCCCTGACCCCAACTCCTGAGGTCACCAGCTCTGACCCTCTGGGCTTGGCTTGGGGGGGGTGCCAGTCCCACTGCCACCCTCATCTGGCCTCAGAGGGGACTGCCCCTGTCCCCAGCACCCTCCCTCCCAGTCCTTCTGGCCACCCCAGCTCGGGCTGAATCTGTAAAGCAGTGTATTTATTGAGCTATGATTCTTTTATAAAGACTTGTCTGCATTCCCCCGGAGAGTCCTGTCTTCTGGGCCCCCCCTTTCTTTACCCAGGTGATGGAGTCCCAGTGGCTCTGCTCTGTGCCCCTCCAGCAATGGAGGGGCCCTGTGGGAGGCACTGAGGGGCAGACTACAGTAGCGGGGTGGGAGTGGTACCAGGCCAGTGTCCCAGGGCCAGGAGGGAGCTCACTGTGAGTTTTCATTCCTGCAGGTGACGTCCCAAGCTCTGGGAGGGCACTCCCAAGGACTCTGGACTGAGTCCCCCTGGGGGGGGTCTCCCCCCAGGGGACTTTTGGGTACTTTCCTTTCCGCCCCCCACCCTTCATGTGCCTGGCCACAGCGTCCTAGCGCAAAGTCCCTAGCCCCGGCTTCCCCACTGGACACTGGTTCTCAGGGTTGGGGCCAGGTCGAAGTGGCGGGCGTCAGGCGGGCGGAGGGTGGACTGGGGGAGTCCATGGTTGGGCAGGGACCCGTGCCCTGCTTGGGGCGTCAGAGAACTGCGGCCTCTCCCGGCCCGCCACGCCCCCT